CCTTGGGAAAATTATTTTATTAAAGGTGATATGATGAAGATTTAATGAGATTAGTTATCTCACAGGAACACATTAAATGGCAGTGTTAGTTGTAGCATCAAAGACAGCTGCTCACTGATTCACAGCTGTTTGTTAGAAAATACACTCTGTATTGAGCCAAATTTTTCCTTCCTCTAACGTCCTTTTCTGTGATCTAAAATCTGCCCTCTGAAACTAATTTATAGCTTTCATAAGAAAGCTATAACCCAATTTTAGCCCAAGAATATGGGGGGCAGGGGGGAGGCTGGGTACAGAGAGGGAGATTGGTGGGATCACGTCTATGTTTTATCTTTAGATGTACTCCTATGGTGGTACATGTGAGCCTTTCTAAATGTAGAATATAAATGTCTTAACACAATAACTAAGAAAATTACATGAAGTCTATTTAACCAGATGGATGAAAGTATTTCAAACTGTATACAGAAACAACACACTGTACCCCATGATAGTATTAATGTACACAGCTATGATTTAATAAAATAATAAAACAAAATAATAAAATCTGCCCTCTGAAGATGTTCAGAATCAGTTTAATTTCTCTCTTTTCTTTGAAAACTCTTCAGATAGTTGAAGATAGTAATTATGTCTCCCTAGAAAGAGCAACCATCTTGTCTTGCCCAGGACTCAGGAGTTTCCTAGGATACACGTTTCAGGGCTAAAACTGGGAAATTTATGGCAAACCAGGACAGTTGGTTACTCCCCACTCCTCTCTGATCTTCTCCAGGCTGAGTATCTCCTAGATCTTCAATCTGTGTTTTGCAATACACGGCCCCCCTCACCATCCTATTCTCCCTCCTCAGAGGAATTATGTTTTTGTCAATGTTCTTCCTTGGTTATGGTACAGAAAACTTCAGGCTGCATTATGAATGTGGCGTTAGAGAAGCACTAAGGAGTATTTTGTCTTGTGATAGATGACACGGGTATTCTTCTTTTTTGTTCCTCCATCCCAGGTGCAAAGATTTTTATAAATCCTTCAAATCAGGTCAGAGGCCCCCCTTGTTTCTTTATTCTGCGTTTCTGCATTCCCTTCTTTCATTTCTCTCCTTCAATTAGACACTAATTCTAATGTGAGAATAAATGAGATAACTAAAAGATAAATAAGGAGTTATGTCATCGCCAAGCATCCCATTGTCTTTATTATTACATTTTTCAATTCGAATAAGTGGTATGGTGCTAAAATCATCACTGTTTTAAAAACTAAATGCTCGCAAGATCTGTTCAGGTCACTATGTGGACATGTAGTTCTTTGTTGCTAAATGTTGCACAGTGTTCCTAAATGTCCCTCCAAGTCATTTTATAACTCCATCCTCTCAATGATAGCAAACAGTGACCGCTAACTCCCAGCCCCTGCAGGGTACATTGTAGCAAACAATCTCATTCACATCCGTTTTGGAGAAATCCTCCTTGATCCGTGGAAGTTGTCAGAACGTCCTTGACCTGGGTAAGCAAGAAGTTATCTCATAAAGAGAATTTACTATTGTCTTATTAATATTATTTGTGTTGAAATATCACAATTGGGTACATTATGAGGTTGAATGTAATTTTCTTTTTTTTTTTTTAGAGACAGAGTTTCACCATGTCACCCTTGGTAGAATGCCCTGGCATCACAGCTCACAGCAACCTCAAACTCTTGGGCTTAAGCAATTCTCTTGCCTCAGCCTACCAACTAGCTAGGATTACAGGCTCCTGCCACAATGCCTGGCTACTTTTTTGTTGCAATTGTCATTGTTGTTTAACAGGTCCAGGCTGGGATTGGACCTACCAGCCCTGGTGTATGTGGCCGGTGCCCCAACCACTGAGCTACAGGCACCAAGCCTGAATGTAACATTTTGATATATCTATACACACAAACACATACAATGTGAATTGATTAAATAAAGCTAATTAACATATCATTATCTCATTAATCTTTTCTTGTGGTGGAACATAAGGAATTTACACTCTTAGTTGTGTACAGGCATACCTCACTTCCAGACCACGGCAAAAAAAAAAAATGTTGCAATAAAGTGAGTCACACAAATTTTTTGGTTTTCCAGAGCATATAAAAGTTATGTTTACACTGTCGTCTCCTAAGTATGCAATAGCATTACATCTAAAGAAAACAATGTACATACCTTAATTTAGAAATACTTTAGTGCTAATGAATCTAATGATCACCTAAGACTTCAGCGAGTTATAATCGTCTCACTGGTAGAGCATCTTGCCTTAGTGTCGATGGCTGTTGACCGATCAGGGTGACAGTTTCTGAAGGTTGAGCCGGCTGCGGCAGTTTCTTAAAATAAGACAATACTGAGGGTTGCCACATCAGCTGACGCGTCCTTTCACAAGAGATTTCTATGTGGTACGCGATGCTCTTTCGAAGCATTTCACACACAGTACTTCTTTCAAAGTGAAGAGTCAGTCCTCGCAAACCCGCTGCTGCTTTACCACCTGCGTTTATCATTTTCTAAACCCTTTGTTGTCGTTTCAACACTGTTCCTAGCGTCTTCACCATGAGCAGATTCCATCTGGAGAAACCACTTCTTTGCTCATCCCTAAAAACAATTCCTCAGCTGTTGCAGCTTTCTCAGGAGATTGCAGCAGTGCAGTCCCAGCTTCAGGCTCCACTTCTAATTCTAGTTCTCTTGCTGTTTTCACCACATCTGAAGTTTCTTCCTATACTGAAGTCTTGAACCTCTCAAACTCATCCATGAGAGTTGGAATCAATTTCTTCCAAACTCCCATTAATGCTGATATTTTCACCTCCTCCCCTGAATTACAAATGTTCTGAATGATATGTAGAACAGTGAATCCTTTCCAGAAGGTTTTCAACTTACTTTGCCCAGATCCATCTGAGAAATCACTATCTGTGACAGCTGTAGCCTCATGAAATGTATTCCTCAAATAATGAGACTTGAAAGTCAAAATTACTCCTTGATGTGTGGGCTGTAGAACAGATGTTGTGTTCGCAGGCATGAAAATAACATTGATCTTGTATGCCTGCATCAGAGCTCTGGAGTGACCAAGTGCATTGCTAAAAAGCAGTAATATTTTGAAAGAAACTTTTTTTTCCTGAGAAGTAAGTCTCAACATTGGGCTTAAAACAGTCATAAAACCGTACTGTAACAGGTGTGCTGTCATCCAGGCTGGTCTTTGCATTTCTAGACCATAGGCAGATTCAGCATGATTCATAATTAGATTCAGCATAATTCTTAAGGCCGCTAGGATTTTCAGAATGGTGAATGAACACTGGCTTCAGCTTAAAGTCACTGACTGCATTAGCTGCTAACAGGAGAGCCAATCTGTCCTTAGAAGCTTTGAAACCAGGGACGGACTTCTCTCCAGCTATTAGAGTCCTAGATGGCATCTTCTTCCAATAAAAGGCTATTTCATCTCCATTGAAAATGTGTTGGTTACTGTAGTCACTTCACCAATTATTTTTGCTAGATCCTCTGGCTTGCTTCCGTCAGCACTTGCTGCTTCGCCTGGCATCTTTATGTTACAGAAATCGCTTCTTCCTTTAAACCTCCCAAACCAAGCTCTGTTGGCTTCAACTTTCCTTCTGGAGCTTCCTCACCTCTCAGCCTTCCTTGAATTGAAGAGTTAGGGCCTTTCTCTGGATTAGGCTTGGCCGTAAGGGAGCCTGTGGCCAATTAGATCTCCCATCTAGACCTCTAAAACTTTCACCATATTAGCAATGAGGCTGCTTCACTTTCTTATCATTGGGGTATTTGTTGAGGGTAGTACTTGTAATTTTTTTCAAGAACATTTTCTTTACATTCACAACTTCGATCATTGTCTGGCTCAAGAGACCCAGTTTGACTCACCCTGATGTTTGACAAGACTTCCTCACTAACCTTAGTCATTTCTAGCTTTTCATTTAAATGGAGAGACACGTCATGCTTCCTTTCACTTGCACACTCAGAGGCCATCCTAGGGTTATTAATTGGCCTAATTTTCATATTTTTTTTTTGTCTCAGGGAATAGGGGGGCCTGAGAAGAGGGAGAATGGATGGGGGAATGGCCAGTCACTGGAGAACTCAGAATACATACAACATTTGTCGATTAAGTTCACATCTTATGTGGGTACCATGCATGGCCCCACCCCAAAAACAATTACAATAATAATATCAAAGATCTCTGATCATAGATCACCATAATAGATATCATAATAATAAAGCTTGAAATATTCTGAGAATTACCAAGACATGACACAGAGACGTGAAGTGAGCACCTGCTGTTGGAAAAATGGCACAATAGGCTTGATGGAGGCAGGGTTGCCACAAACCCTCAATGTGTAAAAAACACAGCATCTATAAAGTGCAACAAAGGGAAGCACCATAAAGCAAAGTGTG